ACAACTTATTCATTAACAAAGCTGATAATAGCAATTATATTGTCATACACAGAAATGACTACATCGATAATTTGGAAACATTTTTAGATGATAATGAGTTTACTTGCCTTGATAAAGACCCTTCTCCATCTTTTCACCAAAATGTTAGGAACACCATATTAACCAACTCATTTATCAGCATCAGGTTATGAAACCCCAATGTCCTAAATTGAATGGCCTTATTAAACTACATAAAGAAAATCTTCCTATTAGACCAGTTGTTAGTTTATTCAATTCTAGTATTTCACCCCTTTGTAAATTTATGATCACTCTTTCAATTCTATCACCCATTTTAACCCTAGATTTAAATTGAATAATTATTTAAATCTCATTAATAAAAAAATTAAAGACAGTGATGTTCCCCCAATGAAAAATTAGTTTCTTTTGATGTGAAGAATTTATTTACCAGCAGAGACCCACTGAGGATGGGAAAAGTGTTTTCCCGAAAGCTAACTCTGGATAATAATTAATAAAATTTTTTAAACCTTTTGTGGATATTATTTCCTTTACCATATTATGGATTACCACAAGATATCTGCTACCACCACGGAATATTTTTCATTCTTATTCTTTCTAAAATCCTTTCAACTATCCAACAATTGTTTACGCGTCGTGTCAAGTGAGAACGTTCTAGTAATATTGAAGGTGAAGGAAATCTAAATCAGAATATTTCCTTTCAAAATCCTTTTGAGCACTTTTTTAAGAGCTGGTTTTGTTCTCTGACAAACGTCAAGAAAACCAAAGATATGGAAATGGATTTAAAAACAAGTTCATTACCATGGACCTTTCAAACCTTTTCCCCGGAAACCTCCCAAGTGGTTATCCCTGTTTCTACAGAACATTCCGAGAATATTAAGGATAATTATTATTAACTAAGAGGTAAGGATAATTATTACTACTTCATACTACATCTCATTAAATGAAACAAAGCAATTGAGAAAAAATCTCGACTATTTCTATCTTTACAGGCATCTTTGTCCTTCTAATAAAATGTCTACAAAAATATTGTGAACGAATATTTATTCAGGAACACTATAACACGTCTACTAATTAATATATAGGCACCTCCAAAATATTAATTCGTAGAGCGTAGTGTTTCTCTTCGCTCTCTCACATCAACTAGCGGGAACTTGGCAACGAAGTTTTATTGAGTGGAATGTTCAAGATTATTTTTAAACTAAAACCTCCAGTGTTTTAAATATTTTTGGAATTTTCTAAATTTCAAATGTTTTAATGAAAATAGAAATTATACCATACTTATGAATGCACTTTCTTAAAAGCCAAAAAGTTCAAGAAAAAAGTTCAAATAACTTTCAGAAAATGTTGAAAATGTCATATTCATGTAAAGTTCCGCCAAAAAATAAAGTTTCTTAATGATCTTGGCCACGGCGTAGTTAGATCTTATTCTTGACGTATTTATCAAGTTTCAGCCCAAACGCTTATTATCTAAGAGATATACATTCATCCATCCATTCTAACTACATATTGTGTCATACCAGAATGTGACTTGGGTGTAATACAACGTAATGGATGCATCTAGAATGTTAAACACAAGGAACGCTCGTAGCATAGCAACGAATAATAAACATTTAGGCGCCATGCTGAGTACGAGACGAGAATTGAATTGTAGAGATACGGCTCGGCCCGGTGTCATTAACATGGAACTGATTAGAGGAGGGCGCTGGAAATTGATCTTTAAAAAAAATGTATCGAATTTTCACTCTCACAGGAGTGGCCAAGCCAAAATCATGCCAAAATGATTTACGCAAAATTACAAAATTAACAAATAAATTTATACTGTACCCAATTCAAAAAAGCTCACCTGTTATAACAGAAAACATTTTTGCACTTATCATTGTGGTTGTCCATAATTTAAAATAAGGAACTGAACTACAAGTAAATAGCATTATATTGTGAAAACCATTTAAAACTTAATCTAATAATAATCGTGATCTTCTTTAAAATGGAGAATTTTTCTGAAGCGTCGTCCTCGAGCATCGAGCAGCACTGAACGAGACGCTCTCCCCTGTGGTGAAGCATGGGCTGCTGCTGCTCCGAAATCGGTACTCGTATCCCGAGAGACCTTGCTGCTATAGAAAGCTTCCTGCGCATGCGGTCGGGTGCATGAACCTCTCGCTCGCCGTGCGGGAGGGAGGGGGCGGGGGGCCGTGTTTACATGGCTGCTGCCGCTTCTGCGGGTATTCGCGCCAAAACCAACCCATCGCGTTCATACGCAGGCTGCTTTCGTGGAAAAGGTCACTTTGTGGCGCCGCCACTGCCAAAGTAATCCTGGGCATCCTAATGTATTTGTATCCTTTAGAACAGAGAATGAAGTTATTTTGCGGAAAGTTTGTGGTTATGGGATACGGCGTAACTTCCACGATTTTGTTTTCTGTCACCTGTTTCCTTCTTTAAATTAAAATAAACTGAATTTGTAATCGATCTAACTGTAATTGATTAAAGTGACATAGAAATAGAGATGAACATTCATACTTTTAGCTTTACAAGTATTCTTAACAATAACATGTAGGTACATCTGGAAATGATCGGGAAGAGTTTTGCTATATTTCTCATTGATATGAAACCTCAATGTTTCTTATACAAATATTTCCGCTCTGAATTCCTTACACAGATAGTATTGAAACTTGAACTTGTTGGAGGATTGAAAAATGTAATATCAATGGTGGTGATTAAATTAGTTTATACGCTTATCATTTATGAGATAGTTGGTAGTGTTCGTTTGTCGCTTCTTAAACTTGGTTACTGGGTTTAAAAAAAACAAAACAAAACGCTCGTCTTGTAAATGCGGCTAATTTTTTTAAATTACACGTATTAATATAAAAGATAAACCTATTGTGTTTTTGTATTTACTGTGAAATAATATTAGAATTTAAGATTCATTAACTTCTGAATTGTTTTTTAGTGACAGAAATGGAAAATGATTATTATATCAAATAATACAGATCTATCTATTTCAATGTTCAACAAACTCCGAATATCCGAAAGCTTTGAGAGAATAACGAGCTCTGTTAAGCTTTTTTATTGTAAAGTCGATACTTAACAATTGAAGTATATTGTCATATAAGTGTAACCACAGTTTTAGGTGCCTAGTATTCTATTTGAATATTTTAATGAATATTGCTTCATTTCTAGAATTCAAAATTATTTTATTCTTGATTAATAGAATCATTTGGAGATAATAAAGAGGGAACAGACGTAAATAGGAAATGTTCTTTAGTATTTCTCTGAGCCAACGTTAACATTGAACCTCAATACTCTGATAACTTTTGCAATCGATTTCCAGTTCTATGGCGTATCGTTTCGTAATCGGTTATCACAAACAGTTATCTTTTACATCTGATAACACAGATTTCATAAAAAGATTACTCACCGCAGGGACATTTACTCATATCCGTAGTGAAACATCAGATGGATCAGAAGGTTCAGAAAGGTAACTGATATGCGTGATGTGACAATAAAACCTATTACCGCTATCACTAAATAAAATACACGAACATATGCAGCTAATTTACACTGTTACAATTTAATATATAGTGAACCTATAACTAACAAGTGATGTTAAGGTGAGTTTGAAAATTTTCGCAAATGCTAGTAAGTAGCATAATAAACGAATCTACGAAAAACGTACATATCTAGTTTGTGCATAATTTTAATATAAATGTTTAAAGTCCAAGTTTGTTTTGTAATTTAATTCGCTGTTCAGGTTATCAGCTTCCCTGATGCTTGATGACACAACAAATGTTAACGGGTTTGGAGTGCGTTTTTTTCCACGGGAAATAGTAATTCCTTACGTACACCTATTTGCCAAGTTGCAGTTTGAACTTTGGACTTTTGGAGAGATCATCAGTCGACAAAAAATGAAAATAAGAGATTCAAACATTGTCTAAAAGGTTGCTATACTTGTGTTTCTAAAAAGCACATGAAAATCATGTCCAATATATGTTCTAAGATTGCTAAAGCAAGAGAATGTCGTGAATGATAAAAAAATTGAAATAGTTAATGTTGATTTTGCATCTTTAGCCACAAGTTGAATTGAATTAGCATTCAATTTATACTAGCTTAAAATTACATAGATATAGGTAAATCAAAAGTCAATCCTCTCAAATTGATATTTTATTTCTTTAAAACAATCAAAAAGGCAAATTGACATTACGTACAATCAGTCTCATGAAGTGTAACAATTACTTACAAATCACTCTTCAGGGGTGGAGAAAATCTAAAATGGTGGCGTCCGGAGGGTGAGGCATCTGGGGCAACTTTTCCAGGCCGCCACTTAAGTGGGGTCCCGAAAATGTTCACAAACTATTTTCTTTAGAGTATTTTTTGGAAAGAAAATATATTAACTGTTGTTGTAATGTAATTCACTTTAAAATATAATAGTAATAATAATAATAATAATAATAATAATAATAATAAATCAGGGAACTTTTATTGGAAATAATGCTCCCCCATGGATCTACTGCCCCAGGGCCCTTGTTTCCTCTGGACGCCCCTATACAAACACATGCGAGCCTTTATATTTCGAGCATTTTGTGTTAAAAGTGCTTTTTTATTGAATTAATTTCTGCACATGGTTAAGTTTAGAAGCAGTGCATAAAGTTTCGAAGCATTTCTAATACTATACTGTAGTTGTTTCATCAACTAATTATTCGAATAAATTTATACATTTTAATGCTATTTCTATGATTCTGTTGTGGTACAACGGTAAGCACATTGATGATTGAAAATGTTTTTCATGGCAAATCTCATGTTAGATATTTGTATCCCTAGTTGTTATCAGAAGCGTATTAAAGGCTCACACCCCTGCATTTGTAAACATTTTCAGCATTCGTAGAAAATAGATTATCAACACCGTTACAGGTCGTCAATAAATACGTACAAAATAAGTTAATACAGGAATAAGGCATTGGTGCAACAAGTCTTTCTTCTAATTTTACTTAACTTACACTAACCACGGAAACGTAGGAGTGCACCGTGGCCCGCCACATGTTGTTGTGTGTGTCTTTTGGCACGGCGGCGTCGCCCTCCTCCCGCACTTGGGTGCTGGCCGGCTGCGCGGCACCGTCGCTAAATCCAGCCCGTCCTTCGTCGTTGGCAGCTGGCTCGGCACCATCCGGACTCGCGGCCGGTACTTCGCCGTTGGCAGCGTCCTCCGCCCCCTTCTCAGCGGCGTCCTCTGCGAGGACGGCCGGCGCCGGTTCGGGTGCTGCGGCGGGGCTGTCCCCTCGCCGCCTCCGCCGCCGCCGCCGCAGGCGCCGCCCCCTCGCCCTCGCCCCGTCCCCGTCCCCGTCCCCTTCGACCTCCGCGTGCGCCGCCGCCCACCGCCGGTGGCGCTCCTCCTTGGCGCGTTGCTCGTCCTCGCCGTCCTCGTCGTCCTCGAGCGGCGCCAGCTGCACGCCGATGGCCGGGTCCACCTCGTAGCCCGCCACGCGCTGCGTGATGAGCTGCGACCAGGGCGTGGTGAACCAGCTGCCTTCCTCGTCGGAGGCCGAGTCCACGTCGGTGGAGGCGCCCCCGCCCCACGCGCCCTCCTCGTCACTGCTCGGCGCCGCCGCCTCGCGGTAGCGCCCCGCGACCGTGTCCTCGTACGCCTGGTGCAGGCACACGTCGCACGAGTCGTCGCAGTAGTCGCACACGCTGCACGGGTTGGTGTTGCCCCTCATGACGGACGCGGTCTTCCTACCTGACAAACGAGAAAAAACAACAACAATTTAGTTTTACTCCTTTGTGGACATTTAGGAACAGATTAAGGCACAGTGAACTCCGATCTAGTGAACTTAAGTCACTCGTCCCGTTTCACTTACATTACAAAGAAGGATAAGAAAATCAGGTTAAAATGAACCTGAATCTCGGCTACTCTGAACGTAGGAAATACAATGTTCTGGAAATTAATTCCCTCATAGAAAATAATATATCGCCTCACTGACACAAATTCCAAAACTAGACATTAGAAAAAAATGTATCGTCGGTTAAATGTCAGAATCGAAAAAGTCTCCCCTGAGGTGGAGGTAGCGGATCTGGAAAGGGGACCTTACTGTTGGCTTCATGACGCCGTGTCCTGCGTGGGCTACAACCGGCGGCGGCACGCGCGATTGCTTGCTTCAGATTCAATCTTGGTGTTACTTGATATCCCACGGGGGAGTTCTACGTAGGCGAAAGGAAGAATGTCACAACCTGACAATATCCGCGCGGAAAACCGATGTTTCATTAGCCGCTAGTGCCACTCCGCTGCGGATAGCATCTCTTACGTTATTAGGCGAGAAAAAACGGCCTTCGAAGAGTGGAATGTTTTTCCAACAGTACAAGAGGGTGCATTTAAAGGTGTCTTGGGCTGCATAAGGCTGCATTGCGATATTTAGACACAAAGAACAATGCAGAATCAGGTATGGAAAGAGCACGTACTCTGCAGAGGGATCTAGAGAAATTACTAAAGAAAACGTACGAAGCAAACAATTGAAAATAATCGTTTTTTTAGGGACAAATAAATATATTGAAATTTTCCGTTCCTGCTGTTATTGTATTTTGATCTATCTCTATATTCATAAAATCAATCGTTATGGAGAACGTATATTTAATATTGATATGTAGGATATAGTGAACCAAACATATTAAGTCCCCAGACGTTCACTATAATCGGGGCCGACTGTATCTCGAAGCGCCGTAAAGGTGTCAAAACTATCAGACCAAAAATACTAAAAAATTGAGCCTAATGCTGTTCCAGAAGGCCATTGAGGTAACTGCAGAAATAATTTTGCATTAGAGCCAATTAGAATGCTCAACTATATCTTCAACGAAATCAATAAATGTTGCTGGTTTTTTGAATGCGTTTTACTTTATTCACAAGACACACAACAACAAAACTTAAAAGAAACATTAAAACTCATTAAAATGTCAAAATCTTCATGTGGCTGGTTTAGATTGATGTGAGCACAAATTCTAGAGACTGAAATCGATTACATTCACTGTTATTCTTGTCCTCCAATCTCTTCTTCCGGAATCATTTTATTTAACGTATGGAGTGAATGATCAACCAACTCTGTGCTTAGCGTAATGTGTTCACTTATAAAAATTTATTTATTTTGCCAATAAACTATTTCTTTTTCCTAATGCGTGTAACTGATTTCATAAAGGTCCTCCAAATGCCACATGATTGATTGATTAATGATTTAGGAGGTGGCAAAGGCTAAGGTATTTGATCCCGTAAGTGTAGAGCATGTTCTTTTCCCTCGTAGGTGGCAATGATCTTCCTCATTGATGGTGAGATCCGGCGCCGATGTACCTGTCGGCTAACGAGTTTTCCCTCAACAAGGTATCTCCCTCCAGTGGGCCATCGCCCCGACCAGGGCTAGCTGTGAGCTCCCGACCGGTCCCCTGACAACTGTAGTGGTAGTGTTACGCATGTGAGTGTAAATGGGTGTAAGTAGGGGGGAGGAAAGAAGAGGAAGGAATGATCGCGCGTGGGCCATAGCCCGAATGATAATGTACTGTTTCGGCATTCGCCTGGTGTTGACCTGACAAAGCACGGAAAGTTACTGATCACAGCAGCCGGCCACTAGAATTCTCCTGCAGACAGCGAGCGCATTTGACCTAGCACTGTAGCTAAGGTCGAAATTTCTGCCGCAGACGGGACTCGAACCTAGGACCTCCAGTCAGAGGCAGTGTTGTGAAATCATATGATGCCGTAAGCCACCTCTTCCGGTCCACGTGTATGTAAAAAGGCTCATATTAATTTAAAAAAGATATAATTCTCTCTGTTCCCAATTCATCACACGTAGTTCTGTTTGAGGAAGCGCGAAGTCGCGTGTTGGCACCGCGTGTCACAGCCTTGCGCAACCTGGGACGATCGCGAGGCACACAAGCATCGACAACTAAATTCGAGACTCAAATAGCCGTTGTATTTCTGTCAGTTCTCATTTCATAACAGAGATGTAACATTCATTCGGAAGGTACTATCTTTCCTGTCATCATTAATTAATTTCTATCTGTCAGATGTACCGATTGCAATTTATAATGTGGAATCTGGCGTGCTAATCATTACATAACATTATATTCAGAATACAGTAATAAAAGCAATAACAATATCCGTACACAAAAATCATAATCAATTTAATGTGTCATAATACGCTAGGAAATAGAATGTCGAACGGTTACCTAATAGCTACTCAAATAACGTATAAATAACGCGAATGTTACATCACATTCAAGATTTTATTTTACAGTGTATTACTTCATTTCTTCATCACACTGAAAAGATCATCAAAAAACTTACAACATTTGTTTCAAAATTACTTGTCCTTTGTTTTTGGTTTACCGGTCAGAGCAAGAAAGCAGCGTTTGATGAACGCATGCTTGTAATTTCTGACTCCACTTTATCACTTACGACAGGCAATAAAAACGACACGAAAGCAAATACGTGTATTTACACAACGTGGTACTTACTGCGTTCGCGTGCGACCTTGTCCCGCCGCTCGCAGTCAGCTGTTCGCTCGCTCGATTAGCCTGGGCCAAGGTCGTTGGCCTTGGCCTTGCAGCCGCGCTCTGCTCCACGTATCTCTAGCAACAGCCGGTGAGGATATACCGGCCAGCCTGCCTGTGAAACTGTATTTATATCGTCCCACGGCCGGCGCGGCGTTTTGGAAGCGGGATTTTGTTCGTGACGTCACGGACTGCGCGGCGCGACGTTGTGCAATGCCGCGTCACCCGCGACTGAGAGAGGAACTCTCGGCGCATGCGCAGTTGGCCGCGCTCCCCTATCGCCTGAAGGTGCGACAGAGAGCGACGACCACGTGCTGGAACGTCCTCCATTGTTTGTTTGGGTTCTATTTTTCCTTGTGGTTTATTGATTTTTCTACGAAATCGCTGTGAATCAGCCGCTCGTTCGTGACGTCGCTGCTGCCACGCTTTTATGACGTCACAATCTTCGCGCTCAAGTCGCTGCTTGATGTTTTCTTTCAGGTTTGTGATACAACAAAATTACGTAACGAAATTATGCGATCGAAACATCGGTATCAGAATAGATTTGGAAAGAGAATAGGCAAGTGATATGAAGGTCATTGGCCAATTAGCAATTAAAAGCCAAACCTTAATGACTGCTATTCTTATTATTAGGTACAATAATTTGTTTCTATTATGTATAAAATTATTGATTATGTAAGTCCTAATGTTTTGTACAAAATTCCATTAATTTATAGAAATCAACATCGAATACTTTGGAGCACAATGTAAGTCTGTTTCCGAAACGCACACACAAACTGCGAAAAAAAATGGCGAAACATTTATTTTGATAGAAACAAATTATGTCTTCGTAGTATTCTAAAATATCCCGCATCTGCGATAACTTCTGGGATGAAGCATTATCCTTGACGCAGGTCTCCGAATGCGTAGACTGGGACAACGTGTTCGTTCCTGCGTGGTTCCACGTCTCCGGGATTGACGTTGCAGCTCGAGGTTCCAGAATGTGCACTGCATAAGGCAGCCTGGCAATGTTGGTAATGCTCTTAATCACAGAAATTCTAAACATATTTAAATACTTATTCACGTTACAATGTATTTATAAGTAAACTACATTACTTAATTATGAATAATATTCAATTTGTGTATTAAGACCACTTTAATTGCCGTTGTTGGTAACCTTTATCAGCAGAATAATAAAAAATCACATTTTCCAAAAGATTTTTGAGACCCCCTTGATTCAAATCTCCCTATATGTCATTTCACAATACCCATCTGTAATACCCCCTCGAAACCGTAACGATATCATACACAAGTAATCTTCCATTTCTCACCTCACCATAAAAAGTTGTTGTTGTTGTTGTTGTTGTTGTTTTGTTGTTGTTGTGACACCTGAGAAAGACCCTAAATCGATTTAGAAAAGTTTCCAAGAATTATGTGTATGTATTCCCAACTCTGTAGGGCCTCATCTGGGCGAAAAGGCAGAAATAAATTTAAAAAACAACCTTATAAACAAATATTATTTTTGGCATTCCAAAGTTACAAATTACAAAGTATTATCAGGTTTTACTGAAACTAGTTTTCTTCGAATACACTGAACCCTTAAGTTATGTGCCTAAAACGGAATAATCCAGACCGTTTAGCGCACTTCTGAATATTCACATTTGCTTCTTCAAGATGTCTCCAGACTAAAAAAGTGGTTTAATTTTATTAATTTGAATTTTGGAAATTGAAAATAAAATAATAAATAAATTTTCAGGGTGTATCAAGTGTCCTTAACTTCTACTCGAAGACTTTTTTAAATTCTGAGATCTGTGAACAATATAGCTTCATTTTGAGGCAGCAAGTTCCTTCTCTTATCTCCAATATTCCTATGAAAGTTAACACCGCAATTCATTTAGACAAAGCAACAATTATCTCATTCATGATTAATGAGCAAACGGTATTTTAAGTTTGCATCTGAAATGTAAGAAGAACCTGTATATAGATATATCGCTAGTTCTATTGTAGTTAAAAGCTATTTAAAAAATTGTTTTGATACTAATTTCTGTTATAATAAACGCAGAACAATCGAAAGAAATGGGGTGCTTTGTCGTAATGTATATGTTTAACGTCTTAAACAATTATTGATATTAGAGCATAGAGAAATTTGATTAACATTTTCATAATTATATAATTCATAGCATATGCTTTTGTAAGTCATTAAATCACACTTCGTTCCATCGCCCGTGTTCGATATCACGGTCCTACATTTTTTATGAGTTTCAAGTCTAATGAGTTATTGGGCAATGACAGATTTTTTTGTTATTGAAGGTCGCATTAACTACTAGGTCCTTGGCGACCACTATTGCGTGTAACGATATGGTAACTAAGAGTATGACACGATGTGATGATAGGGGTGTGAAAGGACGAAACACAATACAACCATGCCCGAGGCGGGACTCGAAACCACGATCCTTCGGTCTGAGATCACTTCGGCACTACTGCCTTAGCGATCTCGGCCATCCGGAGCGGCTATTGACAGTTTGTTGCTGGCTGTTTCGGTGCATTTCATACTCTTATAAGTGAGAGCGATATTCAATCCAACTCACACGGAAAATGCAGAGTTGTGCAACATTGTGCGATGCTTCATAACAGCGTCTGCGGAGCAAGCCGAAATCAAGAATTTTGCAAATGCAACTTGTACATGACAAAGAAGCCAGAGAAAGACCATGGGCACAAACGCATTGTTTGAAACTTCTGAACCGAGGACAAAATCAAACGCGTTATTTGATAATTTTTACTTCATACATAGAGAAAATACAATGTTACCATACAAATATATTTGAGAAAATACTCATTTGATATCTCTGATAGAGAAATAGAGTGCTTACAGTAGACCTACGTTCGTAAATTCTAGCTCGCCTTACAGATTTCACACCTGTTACAAGTTGCGGCTAGCTTTTGATAATAGGCACAGAGATTTTATTCATTTTTTGGCCAAATCTCCTTATGCTTTATTAAGTAACATAAGAATTTAAATGAAGGAGTACTATGACAAACAAAAAAAGTTTTGTTGATGAAAAACGTATCAAGAAAAGGAGGGAATTGATGAATTGATGTTACTCGTGTATGAATAAAAACACCGTACGAAGCAACGAGTGTTACGTGTTGATGATGTACAATTGTTTCAATGCTCGAAAAAGTTATTCTGTGTACCCTATTGCTAGAACTTAAAATTTATAGAAGTTGAGGAATAATAAAAGAATAATATGTTGATATCCTTTTCAACTACAATTGTTTATACAAAAATTTAGGTAAGAAAATAACATAAAAGAGGAAATTTTACTTATTAAGCAGTAGAAGGAATAAAGTTTGTGAAAAATTCACTCGTGTATCTATTCGTCGCGTTATTTGAACACGCATGCGCAAGGCGTAATGTGTTCGTTTTAAATAGGGATAGATTCTGGATGCAAATGCATTGTTTCGATGTATTGTGCAGATAGTTACAGAAAGCACAATTTTATACTTTATTAAAAAGTAATCCAATTTTTGTATTGTTAGTATACGAAGTAATACGAGTACTGAAAACAATTTTGATTAAATAAAGCTTTTGAGGTGTCTATTGAAATTACTATACCAAATTTCCCTTTCCTTTAATGTAAGATACTTTTATACCAAGATACCATATTATACACATTTCTACATGAACTATTGACTTAGCAACAGAAGAATTCAAGAGACGTGCAGAAATTTTTTAGTAACCGTAAAAACATTTCTTATCATTAGAAGTGAGGCAAGCTGCAATGTCGCGCACATTTCCAATACGTGGCACGTTTCATGTGTTATGTGATGAATTACGGATCTCATGGACTGCGAATAACTAAAAAGAAAAATAATAGATTGATAAATAAGTTAGCTTTATTAAACAATGTCATCTGATTGTAAGTCATTTTACTTCAACTGGAGCTGTATCTTTCATGAGAACATGGATTTTAACATGTGAACTATTGTGAAACGTTTGTAGATGTGATGAAATATCGCGTTTGCAAGCCTTCGGCCTCTAATCAATAGTTTATCTTGAAAGAGACTTGGTTGTGTGATCCTCTCATTGTCAGTTTCCGACAGCAGGTATATTATGCTTTGAAGATTGTCTATTTACATTAAAAGCACCATTAATATCCAACTTCCAAAATATCTTATTGTTTATTTTGACAGTTTTATAAGTTGAGCTTACAAATGCATTTTTCTATTAAAAATCAACGATAACTGATGTAAAGACCGATAATGAAAATACTTTACCAAGCGAAATCGAATCTTGTTAGCAAGTCCATGACTCTTACGCAACCTTGGGATGCTTGCACTGTGGAATTTGCAGTTTGATAGGAAAATATCTGATTTTGATATAAGAAACGTTATTGTATTAACCGAGATTAAATCATGCATAGAATCACCCAAATCAAAATGTGTGGAATTGGGGAACTTACTGCGTACTGCCCTTTCCACTTTCTCGTCTACTACTACTAGAGAAAATATTGCAACGCTGCCGGAAAAAGTGGCGACTTTTTGACAGAAAAACTCGATTTGTGTGACCTTGATATTTAGAGAGGGGTTGAAACTTGTTATTTGTTCCTCTAACACGTTGTGTAGTCAGAATTCATGTTGAGTGGAATCTTGGTTCCGAAAAAAATGCTGACGGCAAAAGTCTGTCTGTAGTCAATGCTACCGCATAAGCGAAGTTCAGACTATTTTCTCCCAAATTGTAATTTCCTCATTGATCTGACCGTACTCACGTCCAGAGAACTTAAAACGAATGTTTTGATTTTTGAGACTACTTTGCACGAAGTCTTTACGTTTCGAAAATTTCACAGAAATGGCTTTAAATTTTTAGATTAAAGTTTTTTCTCGAAGAGAGCAAAGTACGCTCTACGTGTGTTTCCGTCGTCGAAAAGCTATTGACAGTTGTTGCTGAGACTTGGAGCGAATTGGGATCTGGGCAAGACATTGCGCAAATACGAGGATACGATGACTACTCCCACGTGCGCAGGAAGTTCAAATAAGGTAAATACACGAACATTATTTTGAATTTAAATGGCGTTGTGTTCATAATATAATCGATGTGTGGAAGAGATTATGCAATAAATGTAGTAGGCCATATTCGAAACCCTCTGTATTTGGTTATCAATTGGTTATAATTTTGGTTGAGATACACGTTAACAGGTTATTGTAGTTATTAATTATTTATTGTAGACAGGCAAAATTTAGTTTATAACAGTATTACGCCAGTATTTACAAAAAGTATTAAGTACAACATATCTCACAGTAATGTGTCTGACCCTTCCAGTTCATCACCTGAAATAAATGGCAACAATAAAACGATTAAGAAACTATATAAGAGAGATAAGAAAAATTATATTCTATGTTTAGGTATGGTATTGAGTCTACAGGCGATTTTTCTGATGTTCCAATGATCTCAAATATGTTTGAAATATCTTTTTGGTTGAACAAGTTATGTTGCATGTATATTTTACCTGATGTGTCTGAAGAAACAGACACATTGGTCTATAAAACATTGTACTTTATAATCCTTTTTGTAAATACAAGTGCTGAATATAATAATCATATTATGTACTAATTGTTTCTACAGTGTACTGTAAGTGCTGATAAGGATATATTTAAGTAGTTAATTAAATACTGCAAAATTGGTTGTTCATTTGTGTTCGTAAAACTAAATTGGAAATGCACTTTCATATATTATGCTGCTTTTGAAAATTGCACAAAGGATATTTTTTATCTTGCCCCCCCTCCCCCAAGTACAACCCTAACCTCAACCTCCACTCCCACCGCCGTCACCACCCCTACAGCTAAGAGGAAGAAAGGCCAACAAGTGAAATGCTGAAAAAGGCACATGAAATTTTGAATTCTGAAAACGATGAGCCAATTTTTTTGTGATCATATAGCTATGGAGTTAAGAAATTTAAACGATCTCCACAGAACTGAATTAAAGCCGAGGATCCTTGTCATCATTTTGGAAGTTCAGGACCTCTAAAAAAAGGATTTGGAACTAGGTAAAATTTGTTTCATGGCCTCCATCTACTTATGTTTTGAAATACATTGTATTTATTTTTAATTCCACTAATAACTCGTGCCAATTTCTTTTCGGTTCTTCCTGATTCTCTAAACACTTTATGATTGAGCCTGCCCAGGAGCTCTTGGCAGTGCTGTCAGACAATTAATTTTTTAAATAATAAATTATTAAAATGAAGTTTTATTGCATTAATTTAACAACAAATCATTCCTTGATCGCAAGGGTTTCTATTCCTTAATAAGTTCCCATTACCTTCCAAATTTTAATACATTAAGTGCTATCAGCTGCAGGTGAAAGTTTGGTATCTATAAATTATAAGTAAATGAAACGTGAAGGGATACCAACCTACAACTGCAGAAATTGAGATCTATTTGTGTCAATGTATGTATTGAAACCTCATTTAATTGCCATTTAATAGCGTAGTTTCAAGATACTTAACTTCTTAAGGGAGCAGCTTCCCATACTTACCTTTATGAATTCATCCCCGAGTCCAGCAATAGCTTTGCACACTTCTGGAATCAAAAGTGATAGAGTACTGTCTGCAATTCGAAATTCACACATAAGGGCTCTGTAACTGTCTCCTGAAAAAAATTAAAACAAAACTTGCATGATTCAAAAGAGTACTAGCCCTTCAGTAGCATGAATGTTTTACAGCAAAAACATGTGTTTGAATTACCTGATTAAAAGATCAGTGGATGTATAGAATAGGAATTGTGTGGAATAATCATGCGGATATAAAGTAATAACACAAAATATATTTAGCAAGGCGAAACGATGTGAAAGACTTGCTTTTTTTGTTGTTCAAATTTGTTAAACAAATGAAAATACATAATTTTAAAAATTCTTACCTGTTGCCAGAAAACGAAGAGTGACAATAAAACGTTCTTTAGCCGATATAGATTCCCTGAATTTTTCCTGAAATTCCACATTTTTGGAAACGCTCAAACGCCGTACTTTCGAGTATGGCTCGAAATATTTTCTTCAAACTTTTCGAACAGATAGTGCTAGTTGCAATCTTTAATATGAAATGAAGTTCACTTTGGAGTATTGTTTTTGTTTTTTCAAAAATTACTCAAATGTAATTTTTTTAGAAAGATCTCTCACTTTGTTAATATTCTTATTTCCAGCAATTTGTAAACACAATTGTTTTGATGAGTTAAAGTGCTTGAAATGACGTCACATGAAGTTTTTCTAAAACTCAAAAATTTTCTATGTAAAAGAGCTTCAAATTTCGAATTTATAGAAGCACTTAAATGTCTTCTTAAAATCTCTCCAAATATTTCAAAGAAAATTGCGATTTTGGACGAGGTTTTACTGTTCTTAAATATTCTTAAAATAATATCTCCATTCTTCTATTAATAAATCGAAAAATTAAGAAAATTTTTAAAAAATGTACTTTGGGGGCGATAGATGGCAGCTGGCAACAGTATGTGCCACGTCCGATGAGCTAGCCCAGAGTAAAGAAAATAAACTAGTGGTGTTACAGAATGGAACAGACTTTCCTGTATACGTTTTCTATTTCCTTTGGTCTCAGCTATCTATTCGGATTTCCCACAAACTCTTGCATGTTGAGATCTATCGCCGCCAATAGTCCTTTTTTGAAATCTTTTTAATTTTTCGTTTTCCTATTAGTAGAACGGAAATATTATTTTAAGAATATTAAAGAATAGTAAAACCTCCACCTAAATGGTAGTATTCTATTCAGTACGTCTATTAAAGTCATTTAAAGTACTCTAAATTACAAAAGCAATAGTGTTTACTAATTGCTGCAAATGTGCATATTATGGCGTGAGAGATATTTTGAAAAAATTACATTTGTGTGTTTTTTGGAAAGACAAAAGAATATCCTAAAATGAACTTTAAAGGGTGTAAAAACTGGAAACTGAAATGTGGACTGTGGATGAAATCGGAGATATTGAAATTAATCCTGAAGAAGAAACTTCCGAGGAATCCATTCTTAATCTCAGACGCTCAAAAGACCCTGAAACAAAAGCTGAAATGAATCAATATTCCAAATTAATCACCTGGATATTACTTCTGGAATTAATCAATTAATAAATATTTACCATCTGATTAATTAAATCAATTAATAAATTATTAATCACGTGGATATACTTTGGCCTAAATAGATATACAGAGTCTAGGTGGTGTCGCATGCACTTCACAGTTGTATGATATCTTTAAGTGGACAATATTGTTTTTCCCCAGTATGGAGCACTTTACCAATCTGGCGCTTCATGGTTGGTAGCTCACACAATTTAAATTAAGTTTAAAAAGAAAGAGACGTTAATTAAAAAAAATTGTAAATTATAAAATATACCACGACCTATAAACCAAAAAGTAAAAGTAATCACATTTACCTTTGACGTGATTGAGAAGAAATCTTAAGAAAACAACTAAACACAGGTAAATAACTAGAACCCGAAATTTGTGAGTGCAGTATGATACACGTGGCACTGCAGCTATGGCTGATCCAAAAACTGAACTTTCCCCTTGCTACAAAAATTAATGGATTCTAAAGATATTGACCACGTTTTGTGGTAAATATTTAATGTATTTGGGGAATTATTTTACTTATGAAATTCTTGTTATGAGTTACATTCGTTTATTATTTAAAAGAGGAAATTATTCCTCGGATATGTTGTAACTGTCTGTAGCATTCCTCTGTCCGTAGTCCATGTTATAAGAACGGCTAATTAATTCCCTTCCCTGTATGTTCTATAATCTTTGTAGATAGAACGTTGCGGTTCATCACCAGACTATTTCACTGATGTTTATTTACCTTTTGTGCACGTTTCAGCCACGACGTTTCTGCAGTTACAATGTCTGCTAATGGGAATGTATGGCTGACATCTATGACATTCACACAAGATCAGTCTCAATACATGGTGCCTGGAATTTAATTTTGGCATTCATTGAACCCGTCATTATATAAATGCATTCAATATTTTATTAGTCTTTGTAGATCAAACTAGTGGTGCTATAGAATGGCACAGATTTTCTTGTACTAGTTAGATATCTAATTTCTTTAGTCTGGTCTACCTTTACGGCATTGCCCCATCCTCTTCCCATCTGCCATCTATCGTCGCCTAAACTACACTTTAAAAAATTCTTACTTCTCGCGTTTCTAATGGGTAATCAAAATATTACTTAAGGATAATAGAGGAGAGTAAAATCTCGACCTATATGAAAGTTTTCGTTGAAACATTTGGAGCAATTTTTAAGAGAATGTATCAGTGTTACAATAAATGCGAATTTTGAAGGTTTTTTTTCACAGAAAACTGTAAATTTTCGAGAAACTTCATTGAAAATTATTTAAAAAAATTGCCGTAAAATATATAAATTGCTGGAAATGTGCATATCACCGGCGTGAGATTAAAAAAATATTTGCGTATTTCAGGAAAAAAATTAAGAAATGGTTTCAAAATCGCAGAGTCGAGTCGAGCCAGATTGATAGGGGATTATCCATTTTGGAAAAAATCTTACTTGTGGTTTAGGGGCTAGCGATTTTCACATACGGACCGAACTGATAGACAGACGCGCGGATGGACAAACGGACAGACGGACAGACGGACGGACAGGCGGACGGAAGGAAGGACAGACGTTTTGAAAAGAAATAACATTTTTTCGGTTTCAGGAGATTTTTACGCGTGTATTTCCGTTGAAATTCGTCGATTTTCTGCAGCATTACATAACTTTTTCAATACTGTATACACTGGTTGAAGGTGGCACCGCCGAAGATATAAATTGCTTAAAAGTTTTCATGTGTTAAAAATTTAGTTCATACTTCATTTTTCATACCTAGCTTTCTTCAAATTTGTTCTTACAGTATCCAGCATTGAACTTACCAATGAATCGAAGAAGCTTATAATGTTATTCTCTCGTTTAAAAATTCCCCACACCCGATGACCTTGAATGTTACCTCTATAAATGTAATATTGTAATTTAAAAATTATAGTCACCGTAAAAAATATTTGCAGGTATTGATGATGTGAATAGAGAGAGTTTATTACAGCTACATTTTACGCATTTTTGCTAATATGAACAAAAATGCACATAAAAGTTGACGTGTAAGCTATTCTACTGCGTTATCCTCTAATCCTAACATAAGAACATACTCAATGAGTTCCGAAACTTCTGTAGCAAATTATTCTACAACTATATCTGATTCTTCTCCGAATTTTCTTAATACTATCATATTTTTCTCCCCCTAATTTTTGAAGAGATTAAAACTTCACAAACTCGGTCTAATTTGTGTTCACTTCTACATATACAATTTCTCAATTAATTGTTTTGTAATTGTAGTCAAATTGTAGTAATTGTAGTCGAATATATATAAACATTAAAAGGCGTCTCTTTTGTATGTGTATGTGAATTATGTGTTAGTTACGTTTAATAAAATAAGTTGTGGGCCAAATTAATTTGAAAATCGATATTTGCACACATTCTTTAGCATTACTCACAGTTTTGTTTTTTCCGTATTCATTTGAAAATCTTCAAATTGTATAAGTTTCAAAGTTGTTCCCTTATTGCTCGAAGGTTTTTCCAAATATATTTAAAAATTACAGCAATACGGATGAAAATAATATGAAATCTGCCGTCCGATTCACTTGGTAATCCACTTGTTCAGTTAAGGATGGCAACATCAGTGTTGTCAACATCCTGAAATATCGCGTATGGAATGAAACTTACCTACGGGTACTGTAGTTAAATAAACGCCACATACAGAGATCTATTGAGATAGCTTTTTTTAAATTCCTGGCATACTCGCTAAGATCACAACGTCAAAACATCCAAAAACGATTTTCGAAATTTCTATGAATCTTAGTTCTACTTACGCAGTACAGAGAAAGGATTGTAACGCTGCGAGAAAACGACTCTCAGAAAATAACTCTTATTGCCGAGCCCTGGAAACGAATAGGTCAATTAATCTTCTTCATATTTGTAGTAAATTTCTTCCTCTAACAAATTGTGTAGTCAGATCCACGTGGTGAGCCTTTATACCGAAAAGTAGGTTGACGGGAAAATGTCTCCCTTCCTTTCGTTACACCTTCAACATTCAATCATCAAATTATTTTAAAGTAGAAGAAGATAATAAATGAACAATGAATGAAGATTATAAATTAAACATTTGGAGAGAAAGGCCTTCCATTGATTCATCTTAATCATAAACATCTTTTTTTATTCAACGAATTCGTACAATCTATTTCAAATGAGAAATAATAACTAAATACTATAAAAGGTCAAAATAAAATGAAATGAAACCAAAAAAGACACCCATTAGTACTTTTCTTGGAATTCTTATCAAATCTATAATAAAAAATCATTAAAACATTATTATATTGCTGTTAAGTGTTACGAGGGTTAAGAATATTTGAAAATGTTACAGGAAAATAAGAGAACAGGTTTACATAAATATTAATTATTAAAACGAATGGGGAGATGAAAAGAGCTAGATGGTTTGGATGAATTTCGAGACATTGGTATTATTTTGAACTTATTTCTTGAATCTTTTCTTGAACTGTTGTTGTATTCAGGTTTCGGTGTAATGTATCATTTGATATGAACCAGGCTGCAGATGAGGTTATTCTTAAAAGTTTTTATTGACATCTTTGTAAGATTGACAAATTAGTTTTACTGGTAGTGCCGCAGATCTGAATTCCGAATGTCCATACAGGAACTATAGTGGTTTTATAAATTAATAATTTATTTTCAAGCGATAATTTAAATTTGTGTCCAATAAGCCAAAAGAATTTTCTTAGTTGCAATTGTAACTGTTGTTTCTTTTGTTCGAATACTTTTGCCACAAGAGACGTCTGACCATATGAATACTTAGACAGTTAATGCTCTCAGTTTGCGGTATTTGATTTCTGTTGTTAATAACGAGTGGTCAAGTTTCTTTCCTAAGAGTAAATGTTTACACTCTTATGGAAACATTTATCGCTGCACTCCACCGTACTGCATCCCCTGAGGCAAGCTGTCTT